AAAGGATGCAGTGCACCCAGTAGGGGCTGCCCACTGGGACCAGAACCCCCTTCCCCTAGGGCGAGCTGGGGAGGTCCCAGCCTGGCAGCATGGAGGAGCCTTCCAGGTCCAGGCCCCAGCAGCTCAAGCACAGCAGGAGATGCAGGGAACCCATCATCCTGCCCATGCCCCACCACTGCAGGGGGGGCCAGGCAGACCCACCATGGGGCCAGGAGTCTCACTGCTGTGGCGGAAAGGCCCCACCTGACCTCTGTGTGGGGTCCGGCACCTCTGTCCCACTCTGGCAGTGGGATCCGGGCACAGGAGTGGTCTGCAGCCCCAGGCCCTGCCCATGGGAGTGAGGGGATGCCACAGCTCTGCAGCTGGGCAGCACCCCCAGCCACTCAGTCGCACCTGCCATCCCCTGCCAGCAGCCTGGGGCCTATACAGTGCCAGGCATAAGATGAAGACATAAGGGGCCAGGGCCATTCCTACCAAAGGTCACTAAACTGTAAATGATAAACAATAAATGATATAAATATAATCCTTTTTAACCATTTATATCCCTATTAAATATGTGCTCATTGCTTTCCCAAAACCCCATTTAAGTTGATTCAAAAGCAGACCAATGGATATGGCTGTTGAATTAACATCAGGTAAATTTGTTATCAATTTATTATCAAACCTTACATGATATAAAAGTGTGTGGTATATTTTGGACACAAAGCACAGTATCAAGAAGTTTTTGAAACTATTGTCCAGTTGAAATTATAAATCAGTATTGAGGGATCCAAATACATAACAAAAGTTCCCCTTTGTTGCCTAAGCTTTAAAAAATTGATGGATGTTATATTAAGAGATCCCTCAAGTAACTAAACAATGCTAAGGGTCAGAGATACTCAGAGAAGCATCTGTTGGCACAGTTAGCTGTTGACAGTACTAGTTTGTAATTATTTATTTGGGTCAACTGAGGTAAAGGTATATATTTTTTTACTATCTGACATTACATGTGAAATGCTCTAGTTTTATTTTGGGGTTTCAGCTGTTTCAGTTCCATACCCTATCTCATAAAACTTTACTGTATCTTTTATCAAATGCATTCAGGAAATGGCAACAGCAACAGTTAATCATTTTTAGAAAAACACAAAGGGTAGGAAAAATCCCAGCAAGCAGCACCAAGAAAAGTAATTTATTTTCTTCATCTTTGTGACTAACATTTCCTCTAGCCTTTTTTTTTATGTAATTTATCAATGACACCTTTAAATATGGTTAGAAACAATAGAAATTAAACACATTTTGGACACATGCCAGTATTTTTCTTTTGCTATTTTGAGTAGATCCATAAATATCAGGAAAAATTAAAATAGTATATTAGAAATCATTTGTTACACTCAGTAGTAATTTGACACAATTAGTCTTGTCAGACAGTTAAGCCAAAATCAGTATAACTTTCCAAAAGACAAGATTTGATAAAAGAGGCTGGAAAAGAAGTATGGACTAATTTGAGGACACGAAATAGAGGATCAAATTCAAAGAGGATGAAATCTTTTCAAATAGTTCTTCCTTTTAATTTAGACAGTCTGCCTATTTTAGGGTTCCCTCTAGTGTCCATCACTCTAGCACAGTGGTTGGATGAGTGGCACAGGGCTGGTGGGGTCGCCACCCTATGCCAGCCCAGTCCCACATGCGTGTCTAGTATGTAAGACCATGCTGTCTTGCCCACTGGGCTCTCCACAAGGAGGAGTGGAGGGTGGGAGAGTGAGAGAGCATGAACACACTTTCTGAATCATACTTATTTTGGTGCAGAGCTTTGCAAAAAGAATAACAGCTCTAGAACTCCTATATTACTAAGATTTTTAGTAACCTTTAATGTCCATAACCATCTTTCATGAAAATATACCATTGAAAAAGTCATATTTAGCATATTGCTTTATGTTTTTTCTCAATTAGTATGGTCCTCTTCCAGACCTTCGGCGGTTGAAAGTCTTCCCTATGCTGCTATGTGAATGGAGAAAAGAATGAAATAGAAGAACTATAGATGTTTCATTTTGCATTATGCTCTCTCTGCACAATCACCACTGTCAGATTATACCAACTACAGATTTAGCCCATAACTTCAGAACTTGGGGTAATAAAGGAAAGTTGTTTTTTTTTTTTTTTTTACAGAACCTAAATGGTTCTTTTAGCATCTAACATCCTCAGACTAGATAGAATTGTGCGACCAAAATTTTTGCTCCCTTCAACCCCTTTTTTTATCTTTGTGACATGGCTTTTAAATGCTTAAAACATCAACCCTTATTTGACCGTTGCATTTTAGGGCTGTTTCCCATTCCTCATTAGACAGTCCCTCAGCATTTAGAATCCAATTTCAATGGCCAGAATTAAGTTTTTCCTCTTGATGGCTAGTTATATTTTGCCATATATATTTATAATTGTTAAGGTTGGATAAAAATCAATTATTTAAAAAAAAAATTAAAAACAGATTTTTTAAATTTAAATCAGATTTTTTATTTCATTGTTTGCTTGTTTTTGTTAAGATGCTTTTTAAAAAAAATAAACCTATATAAAGATGGATTTAATTTATGTTAAAGTTCAAATATATCATTATGGAATGGGATTATAACTTCTAATTTATATACTATTTAAGACTATTCAGGTACCTTTTTAGAAAAGTTTTATAAATAGGTCACAACAGGCCATGGGCTATATTAGGGGCTCAATCTTATGGGGTTCCCAAGGACTCTTCTATATATTAGTAAATATTGAAGAAAACCAGTCTACCCAGTGGGACTCAGTGCTCCGTCTAGAAGATCCCATTAAGCTTCTCTGTGATGCTTAGTTTCAGCTCTCAAACTGAATTTGTGTATCCAGAGATAACATCCTTCTTAACAGTATTATATGGAGATGAGCGATAACAGACCTGATTACCTACCTGTCAACGCACTTGTCTCTCTGCAAATTTGTGTACACAGAGTCAAGCCCTTAACTTTCTCTAAAAGTGCAAAGTTTCAACAAGTTAAATGAATAAAGGATATCAAACAAGAATGCACTTTTTATAGAAAACAATGATTAAATTGAGGCTCCCTGACCCTTGATTTAAATTGTGATTCAAATTAAAATTTAAATCTATCTGATTAAATCAAATCCACCCTGTAATTGTTCAAGACTTTTAGTTATGGCAGTCTAGATTGTACATTTTAGTGGTCAGAGTGCCAGAAAGAACAAAGAAGAGATTATTTTTAATGTTTTCCCATCTGAATGCACATAAGGAATATGGTAGTGGCTTTAAATATCCTTTATCGGATCTTTCTCTTTTACATCTCTGCACCCTATCATACACACTATTCCACTTATTTTAGTGTGGTACCAGTAAATATCAGAAAGCAGGAAAATGAGGTACTAACAAGTCACCTGTAGGACTGGGTCCAACTTTCAGCCGAAATAGCCCATTTTTGTTAATGGTGCAAAATTTTTGTGGAGTTGAGAGAGATTCAGTGTTGCTAAGACCAAACACTCAGAAATTATACAGTAGACCCCAAAGTATCACTGAGTGGTCTTTAAACTCAGGGAGTTTTTTTAATGATTTTTTTGGTGTGTAGCAGAGTTTTTGACCTTTTAGGATTCATACTACATAATAAAGGAAAGGCTAGACATTTTCTGATGAGAAAACATAATGACACTATTCCACAAGTTAAAATATTTAGGGAAAACAAAATGTTGCAAGATGCACAATCAAATTACATTACTTTTGCAAATTCTTGTATTTCATTGTAAGGATTGACTGTTAGCTAAAGGTACTTAATATAAAAGCTTTCTTAAGAAATGGCATTTGTTTCCAAAATTGTTTCACAAGCATACAAAGCTAAATTCATATCAGGAGCACAGTCCACTGGAATAGAATTTAGCAAAATTGTGAATATATATTTTCACACATCAAGCATGTCCAGAATCAAACTTGCATATTTAAATTGATTATTGTTGAAGTTTAGTATTTTTATTATCCCTAAAAAGGTATGTACTAAATAGGGCTCAAATAAATATTGCAGTATTTTATTAACCTGAAAATCCAATTGGTATGGACAGTTGCATAATTGGATTAACTTTGTTTTTTTTCCATAAACTTTTACTATTTTGTTTGTGCAAAAAAGATTATCTTTCATTCCATAATTTCAATTAAAACACCACTATAGAACAATTTTCTATTCTTAAATTTCCTTCAGGGCACAAACTGTTGACATTATTATGAGAAGATGATGGCTTTAATAAGAATACTGAATGTTAATACCCCACAAATATGAACTATTTACTTGATAGCTGAACCAGCATTTGTTGAAGCTTGTTAACAAGATAATTCTATAGTCACCAGTCCAAAAAGTTTTAAACAGAAGAACGCAGGAGGAATTGAGACTTGTTACATTAAACTTGTTTTTCCCCAAGAGTATGTGAATCTGATTAGTAAAAGAATAAAAATGCTATTTATATCTTAAGCTCCCCCTCTCCCTTTTCATGTGCAAGATGAAGCTTTGAAGGAATACTGCTTGCTTGAAACATGGCCACTTTATAGGTAGTTAAAAAGTGGCTTATGATGCTAACTTACCCTGGACTCCCTCTGCCTGAAAAATTTTAGGTTTCCAGAAATATTTGCTAATTCTAAGTTTTGTTTTCCCTATCCCTGCTGCTGTGTGAAAGACACAAGGAAGCAAAGGAAAAAGACTAATGACGCAAGGAAGAAAATGACTCTGACTATATGACCGTGTCAGATGTGAACTTAAACATTTTGCTGTGGACCATGTTTCCATTTAAAAATAGTAACAGAATTTATAGACTATAAGAAATATTTAGTGTTACAGTCTATAAAAATAACTGATATTATAGCAACAGTCCATATTAGACAAGGAAGTGTAATGGAAGGTTACACTTGGTTAGGCTGTTATGTCTTGTGGCTGTGTCAAGATTGACTGTGTAGTTTATTTAATACAGGGTCCCTGGCGGCCGGCTGGCCTGCCCAACTTGGACACGGGGAAGTGGTACGCAGCATGCAGCGGCAGCATGGAGTCATCTGTGGTGGCAGGCCCGCCCCCTGCACCGCCACTACTAGGGAGGGAAGAGAAGTTTGCAACCCCCTCGTCACAGTATGAAAAAGTTTTGAGAACCCCTGATCTAATAGGTTAGACAACAGATTTGTATAGGATAGTTGGATAGGAATGATCCTGCCTCATGCTGTCCTACTTTTCTGTGATTAGGTGATCACTTCCATAACATCTGTATTAATCTGTTTACAGACATGGAAACTCCACCCCCCACCCCCACCCCCCCAAAAACAGGGCTTTACTTTAAGCTTGGTGCGTGCCCGCAATGAGCACAGCACTTGTCCAAAAGAGGCATCACATTAGTTTGATCCAGCTCGCCCAACATCTGCATAGATTGCACACTTCAGCAGGGCTTTTTGATGCTTTTGTCTAATAACTGATTGAATCAGCTATTAGATAAAAGCACCAAAAAACCCCACAGCAATACCCAATCTATAGAGATGCTGGGGAGCAGGGTGACCTGCACCCATGGGCATGGCAGGGGCAGCTCTCTAGCTCCCTGACCAGCCAGGTGATGAACACAAGCTGAGCTACAGCTGCAGGCTCAGTCTGTATATTATCATAGCCCAATGGGTTGTTCTCCCAGCGAGTACACTTAAACTTCTTGCCGTGCTCTCTCCCGTGTGGCACACGCGGTCCCCTTGCCTGGCCCCCCTGGGCAGGAGCTTGCAATTAAATAGAATGACAGGCATCAGCAGTCTTAGAGTTTGGGGCCAATGCACCATCGTTGCCTACTGATACCTCCTTTTGTATTTTCTTTCTCCTGATGACCTCATTTCCAGGTACCATTGATCGGTTTTCTTGTGGTTGTCATGCTGTTCACATTCTGCCCTTTCAGCATCATCCTCTGTTTTTCAAACGCATCATGTGCACACATCTTAATTTGGTCATTTTCCAGTACCTTAATTTGGTCATTCCCAGTCTCCTAATTTGGTCATTCCTCCAAGACCGGGGAATCCCAGGGACTTTTTGCCATTTTCATTTAGTCATTGTGACCTGATGCTGAATTCTGCATTTTCCTATCTTGTTTTGGTTCTTAAAGGAACACTGTGGTTATTTTACTGCTGCATATTTCCAATTTCCCAGCATGTATGTGCCTGTCTGTATGCTAATCTTGGACCCTTGGGGTGTCTATACATGTGCTCTGGGAGAGTGGGGGGTGCTTTAATTAGAGTGGCTCCAAGAGCTGCTCTAATTAAAGCACCCAAAGCATCTCATGTATCAGTGTCCCCATGCTTTAAAATGGCAGTGGGGGCACTTTAACTAAAGCTCATTCAGAGACGCTGGAGTCTGCTGGAGTGTGGTAATTGCCATGCTCCAGCAGACTCAATTAATTGAGCCTGCTCTGACGTGCTGTTTTTACAGCACGTCGGAGCAGCCTCACTGCTCGTGTATAGGCACTCCTAGATGCTAAAAGTGTTGAGAACATGAATCTGTTACCTTGAGACTGTTGCCACAAACATACTTTAGAAACTAGTTAACCCTTGCCATTCCCCTGGACCATTATTTTCATGCAATACATACTCTTCCTATGAGCCAATTTCTAAAAGCAAATTTCTAAATATCATTCTCCAGCCATCAACTATCACCTCCTATGTCATGCACCTAATGCTTCTGTGGATGCATCCCAAACCTGTATTTGCCTTTTGAGCAGCTGTATCATACTGCATACTCGTGTTGAGTTTGTGGTCTACCAAGACTCCCAGGTCCTTTTCCATTGAGCTAGGTGTCACCCATTTTATATTTGGTTTTCAGATATTCCTCCCAAAGTGTAGCACCTTGCTCCATTAATAATTACCCTTGCTGGCTAGTCCTTTTGAGCAGCGTGGAAGATGGATGTATACCCAAGGACATGCTACAGTAAAAGCTGAGTTATCCAGCACCATACAAGCCAGCATGCTCTGTTAACCAGCATGCCGGCTTGTAAGGAAAAAGTGAAACCGGAAGTGCCCACTGTGGCACTTCTGGTTTAGCGGAGCCCCCGTGACCCAGAGGAAAGCAGCCTGCCCTGCCAAGCCCCCATGGCCTGGGGCATAGCAGCCTGCACCAGTCCCCCCTCCCTGTCCCTCGGGGCCCGTGGGAGGGGCGGTGATGTGGCGGGAAAGGTAGCGACACCCCAGATGCGGCAGGACAGGCGGTGGCCCAAACAGGCAGACGCCTGTTCAGGCCTCTCAGTTATCCGGCATATTTTGTTATCCAGCCCCCTCCATTCCCCCCTGGGTGTCAGATAACAAAGTTTTCACTGTATATGGGGAGCTGTCGGAGGGAACAAGAACAATAGGACATCCCAAGCTTTGCTACAAAGATGCATGTAACTGAGATATGAAGGCACTTGGAATTGATCCTGACCAATGGAAAACCTTGGCAGGCAATCAGAACAAGTGGCATCATTGTCTCCACCAGGGCGTCAAAGTCCACAGCAGGAACAACAGCTTGAAGAGAAAAGAATCCATAGGAAGCAAGCAGCTCCTGAACTACCCAGCCATGACACATACACTTGCAACCACTGCCCCAGATCATGCAAATCTCAGATTGAACTGTTCAGTCACATGAGATGCTACAAACCATCTGCGTCATAGGCTGCAATATCTACCATCTCTCACACATGAAAGGATGCCAAAAAAGGATACCAAAAAGCATGCAGCTATTGAATCGCCTATCTAGCCACCATGTGGTAGTTTTATCCAGCCCACATTTCTCCAATTTGTTTATGAGAAGTTCATGTGAGACCTTGTCAAAAGCCTTGCTGAAGTCCAGATACACTAAATCTGTAGCATTTGTCAAAGAAGGAGATCAGGTTTCTTTGACACAATTTATTTTTCACAAATCCATGCTGACCGATTTCAGTCAGCCCTTCCTCTTCCAGATGTTTGTAAATGGCCTTACTTAGGATATGCTGCAGTAACTTCCCAGATATAGAGATGAGGCTAACCAGTCAGTAGTTCTCAGGGTCCTCCTTGCCTTTATTAAAGATAGACATTATATTGGCCCTTTTTCAGTTCTCTGGTACCCAGCCTGTTTCCTGTGACTTCATGAATTTCATTGCCAAAGGCTCCAAGATCTCCTCTGCTAGTTCCTTCAGGACTCTGGGTTGAAACTCATCTAACTCTGCTGACTTGAATTCATTAAGATCCAACATAAGCTCTCCAACAGTCTCTTTTGTTATCTCCTCCCTCAGCTTGCTCCCTTCCTTATCCATGTAATCCTTAAAGACTGAGATAAAGTATCCGTTGAGTAGTTCCACCTTCTTTGCGTCTTTGGTTATTTGAATAGTTAGACAGCTAGGAGGGCTGTTTTAAATAGTGACACATTAAAACCAAAATACATTAGGTGTCATATAGGTAAATGAGGAAAAGCATACTGATCACATGTGCAAATCAGGGCACTAAATCATTTGCATAACATCTCCAGATTCCTAGATCTTTATTCTTAACAGGTAAGCCAGCTGGTGCCTGTTAGGATTTACAAGTATGCTGCTTATAAGTGGTGTTAAAAGAGCTTTTAAAGAGTACCCACAGGATAAATCAGCACTCCACTTATATCCTATTTACGTGTATATGACACACACCTTCCTCCCCCTTCCCTGAAAATCACCTGGTAAAAATGAGGGCATGGATCTTAAATGAGGAAGTATGGATTAGGAGTTCCCCCCCAGCTTGTTAACAGAGGACCCACAGGTTCCTTGGTCATTTTTTCTGACTGACATAGAGCCTCTTCTTGTTGTCCTTAACCTTCTGTGCCAGGTACAGCTCGTTCTTGATTTCCCTCTTACTGATTTTGTTCCTGCAGGTTCTTGCTATTTTCTGATATGCTGCTTTGGTGACCTGCCCATTCTTCCATTGCCTATACACTTTCCTTTTGTATTTCAGGCATTTTAAAAACTCCTTGTGCATCCACATTAGTCTCTTGCCATTCTTCTTGTGCTTCCCTCATGTTGGCAAAGTTTATTGTTGGGCTTCCAATATTGTGCCCCTTAGACATTCTCAGCCCTCCTGGGCATCTTTATCCTTCAATCTGTCCTCCAATGAAACCATGCCTATTAGCTCTTTGAATCAGACAAAATCCACCTTTATGAAATCTAGTTTCCTAATTTTGCTGACCTCATGATTTCCTGTCTCAGGATCTGGAATTCTGTCCTATCGCAATCACTTCCTTCTAAGTTACCCATCACTTTCACATCCTCCAGAAGGTCTTCCATGTTAGTCAGGACAAGATTCAAGATGAAGGATCCCCTAGTTATATCCTCCGCTTACTGAAAGAGAAAGTTATCCTCCACACAGGTTGGGACCTGACTGAACATCTTATGTTCAGCTGCATTATTCTCCTAGCAGATATCTGAAAAATTGAAGTCTTCCATCAGTGCCATCCCATAGCTTTTTGGATAGATTTGCTACCTGCTTGAAGAGTGCCTCATCCACCACCTCTTCCTGATTAGGTGGCTTATAATAAATCCCCACCATTATATTGGTGCCACATCTTTTACCTTTCATATTCACCCAAATGCATTCTGCTTTGCCATCTTACTCCTGAACCAGGGAACAAGTGTATGTGTTTCTAACACACAAGGTGACACCAGCACTGTTTTTCCCCAGCCCTGTCCTTCCACAACAGTGCTCCTCCATGTTGCCATTCCAGTCATTAGAGCTGTGCCACCAGGTTTTGATGATGCCAATCAGGAAGTTCTTTTCACAGTCTGCAGCTTCCAACTCATCTTGTTTATTCCCCATATTTGCATTTGTGTATGTGTGTCAGAAATATGTGCATTTTTACCTCCTTGCTTCCCTTTTGCACCACTTGTTGCAGTCCTGTGGCCCTCTGGCCCTTTTCCAAAGTTGAATGGCTTCTTCAAGACCTTTTTCTTCTGGACTGTGTGCTCTGTTGCTGGAGGGCTGTGATTGCAAAGGTCCTAAATTGGAGCAAGGAAATTTAGGTTTGAGATGAGAAGGAACTTTATAACTCTGAGGGTGGTTACGCATTGGAACAGATTACTTAGAAAGGGTGTGGTATCTCCAGTCTTGGAAACTTTTAAAAGCAGGTTAGACAAACACTTAGATGAAGTGATTTAGACTGGGATGATCTTGTCCTTTGAGCAGGAGGTTAGGCTAGATAATCTCCTGAGGTCCCTTCCAATTCTATTTTTCTTTGATTCTGTGATAATAAAAGTCGTCATATGACCCTGCCTTATTACAATTCTGGTCTAAAAACCAAAACATATTTTTGTTGCATCAATCTTTTCTCTGTTTCAGAAGGAAGATGTTGCTGATGAGGAAATGGCAGAAAAATTGTCTATTCGAAAACAACGCTTTATGCATTTTGCATCATTGGAGTATAATGGAGAATATTACATGACACCAAGGGACTTCCTGTTCTCAGTGATGTTTGATCAAGTTGGGCGTAAGTCAATTTTTGTTCAATACATAGTACCATATTTCCTCACTTACCACATGCCCCTGAGTAAGACACACACCTCGTTTTTGAAAGGTGGAATTAAGAAAAAAGATCTTTCCTTGAAAATACCAGTAAGTACAGTATTTTTGCAGGGAAAACACAGGCAACTGCAGTAGGGGAAGCTCAAAAACTTGTGGATGCTCTGTAACTTGTTTACCTGCAGGATACAGCCAACCCAGCCTGAGAAGATACAAGGGGCCAGGCAGTTCAGTTTCCAGAATCCTGCTGGAGCTGATCTGGCCAGCCCCTCTTTTTGAACCAGATGGGCCTGTACCTGACAGCAGGTGACACTAAGTATCTACTCAGCTTAACGTGCAGTTTGGCTTCTACAGGATTTGGCCCTCTGCTTCCCACACTTCCCCATTTAAAGTTCACACCTCCATTTTTCACCAGGTGATTTTCAGGGAGTGGGGGGAAGGTGCATGTCATGTGCAAGTAAATATGGTAGAGGTGAAGGATTGATGGTTTATCCTGTGGGTGCTTTTAAAAAGGCATTAACCTTTTGACATAATTTATAAACAGCATACTTGTAAATCCTAATAGGCACCAGTTGGCTTACATGTTAAGAATAAAGATTAAGGAATCTGGAGATGTTATGCAAATAATTTAGTGCCCTGATTTGCATATATGATCAGTGTGCTTTTCCTCATTTACCTATATGACACACACAATTCAGTTCTAATACACCAATATTCAAAATACAGCCCTCCTAGCTGTCTAACTGTTCCACTCACTGATAACTTGACCTACTTTGGAGGAGAAGGCAGCAATGGGTGTGCCTTGAATTCACAAAGCAATGAGGGAAAGGGTGCAGGGAGATGTGGACTTCAGCCCTGGGCTTCATTTTGCAACAGGATATCTCTTGTACAGAAGTGGAGCTTGTACGAAACATACTGATATTATGTATGTATTTAAAAAAACTTTATTTTAAAGTTTGTCCTCCAAAATTAAACCAGTAGGCAACATAGTAAGTGCATGGGGTATGAAGCTGTTTTCCTTTTGCCCTGGGTTCAAGGTATGAATTCAGGTGTCCTGGCCAAATCCTAGCCTGGTTAACAATTAACTCATTCTGCAAATTCAGTTTTAGCTGTCTCTTCACTTTCTTGCCACACAGTGTGTGACAGTGTCACAGCTGGAGTTTCCTGCTTTTAAAGCAGTAATCTCCTTTCCTTTTTTAGAGCATTATTAAACATGCTGTGAAGGTGGGAGTAGGGGATCACTTTAATTAGAGCAGCTCCAAAGGCTGCTCTAGTTAAAGCGCCACAGCAACTCATGTATTAGCATCCTTGCACTTCAAAATGGCAACAGAGGCACTTTAACTAAAGTTTATGAAATGAGCTTTAGTTAAAGCACCCCCGCTGCCATTTTGAAACATGGGAACGCTGATACACGAGACACAGAGGCTGGCTGGAGCACACTAATTAGCACACTCCAGCAGGCTCGATTAATCAAATGTGCTCCAAGCAGCCTCCCGGCACTTCTACAGGCACCCTTATAGACCCAGTATTACTGCTGCAGATTCTGTCAGGTTATAGAGATCTACTCTCTGCAATCTAATGTTCTTCCTTCCTCCAAGTCTGTGGCTCTTCCCTGTTGCATGGACCTCATTACATCTACCCTCTATGCAACCTTTAGTTTTATGCAATGGCTTTATAAGAAGCTTGATATCCTTCTTGGGGGGCTGATAAAGTGCATTGTTTAAGAGCCCAGAAGAGCCCACAATCTATGAGCTGTCTGGGAGAAGGAGTAGATTTACCAGGTAAGAGTGATTTGTGGTGTTTGCATAGATTCGTAGGTTTGACTATAACAATCCTGATGTATTTTAGTTTAATATACATATATAAATATGATGTATTTGATGTGTTAAAGATTGCAGCTGTTTTTCCACCTGTACATTTACAGCCCCTTAAAAATACATACATTTTAAAACACCGTAAAAGTAACCTAAGTCCTTGAACCAGTTTTCTGGCTCTTGGTTGGTTTCACAAATTGAGTTAAACTGCTTTAGTCTTGGCGTAGCTGTTATAAAAACACAGAATGGAGCAGGGTATGCATCTTCCAGACGCTTTTAGTAAATGTGACCTTTTCAAGCTTTGCATCCTTGCAGGTTGTCTCTAATCTTGAAGTTGACCTTCTCATGTAACAACAAGTAATTACTCCCACAGATCAGCATGACATTGTCAAACGCTCTTAATATTCTAAAATAAAATTTAAAAAATTTAAATAAGTGACCATATATAGTTTATGCTTATAAAAGTTGAGTCATGCTGACCCTAGCTTCTTATTCCTTTTAAAAATGTGTGTTTAACATTTTTAATAGGAAAAAATTGTCCCCTTTTTGCTCACTTTCCAGTAACTTAAAAAGGTGGAAGGGATTTTCCATGAGTTTTCCAAACAAAAATACTAAAAGATGCTGAGCCTAGAAAATTTTAGCTCTGAAGCTGCGTGCTTCAGAAAGTTGTGTGAAAGTAAGGTTATAATAAGAAGCATCTTAGCAATTTCTCCTTGGGAGGAATAGCAGTTGCTCCCAGCAATAGCAATTGCTACCAGAATTGTACATATTCATTGTTTTCTCCTACAACATTCAGGTTTTCAATGAGGTGGTATATGGACAAGATTCCTTTGTTAGATGAAGCCATATTAAATTTAGGTATTTTACTGATTGTCTAAGACACAGTTATCTTAAGACAACGACTTCAAAGAAAAAAAAAATAAAGTTTAGATGCAGTAATGTGTATTTCACATTCCAGTTTGACTTCAAACTTACTAATGGCTAACATGCTGCAAAAAGAAAATATTTTAGAAGTCATAGATAAACTTTACTGTATGCACACACATTCTTAATGCTTTAATAAGTGAACATAACCAGTGAAGGCACATTAACCTGAAACAGATTTAGAACTGTAAGAATTAATTTTTGTCCAATGTTATAGAATGCTAGGCATTCTTACTTGTAGCTAGTAATAGCAGTTTTCCATTGAGAATTTGAATCGTTTTTATATTCAGTTACTTATCTCAGAAAAAAGTACCGTTCCTTTTATTTAGAATTATCCCCCTGGAGGACAGTCTACATAATATTACAAGCTCTTACCCATTTATATTAATTAGTATACCAGGCAGATGAATTTCTTAACTCATGTTGTAATTGATTTGGACACTCTCCCTGCTTATACCACACAATTAATTCACTTTTATCCTAGAGGCATACCAACAAGATATTTCAGCGCTTAAATTTGGATCTGTCCCAAGATTTTTTAAGAGAAAACTCAAATATTTCACCACTGATCTCATCAGGTCTTTTAGTTATTTGTTTATTAAGGCGCTTTTTATCTTTCAGTAAAGGTGTACACTTCAATATTTGATTCTATACTTGAGCAACTATAACTGTTATATCTGTGTATAAAATTATTGTAATTCAGAAACTCTTGATTTGATTTATTTTAGACTTATCTTTAAAAATAGCCCATACAAAAGCTTGAGAACTCTGGCAATAATTAGATTTATAATAACCATTTGTTCTCATAAATGCTAATTACAGATAAATTAACACTGCCAGCTGGCAGCCATAAATAATCAAAATGAAAAGGAGAGTTTACCTCAGCTGGTAAACAGTAAAAACTCCTGGAAAGTCTGTTGCTCTCAAAACATACCCAGCAGCTTAGGCTCATCCTTCTCCCCAAAGCCCTGTTAAGTAAACAAGGCTTTTGCAATATGCCTAGAGGGGTCACCAATTGGAAGCCATGCTGGACCCATGTGGGGGAAAGCTGGAGCCTTTTGGAAAGCAGCATCCTGTTTCATCTTACCATAGGGACACCTGTGGCAGTATGTGACAAGGAGGGAGGAGATCTCTCAGGGATGGCTTTTGTAAGTCATGACCAACACTTTCAGCTGTATTCAGAGATCAGTACAGATCCCAGAGCTGTAGTATCAATGCTCCCCTTGCCCCACTCTATGGATCTTTTCAGAGAAGGAATATCCAGGTAAGATCTTACAAGAACTCTGGGGGTTGTGCCTACTTTTCATACAGTTTTGATGCATGTCATCTTCATGCAAAAAAATACTTTTATTTTTTGCATACCGCATGCTCCCAAATAACATATACCCGAGGCATTTATACACACATTTTCATCCCACTAAGTGCCAGAGATCCTCTGCTCCACACGCAAGCTCATGCAAACTGCAATGCACAGCGTGCAGTTGTATAACTGGTGAAATGCGTGTCATTGCACAGAAAATGTCAGCAGTGCACTTTTGAACTAAAGTACCTCCGATGTGTTTTAGTTCAAAAGTACGCCACTGCCATTTTCTCAGTGCTGACACACATTTCGCCACTTATGCATCTGCATGCACTACAGCGCCAGGCACTTTTCACAGCACCCACTGCTACAGTATGTGCATGTATACAAATACCCCTTAATTTTGGAAGGTGGAATGCAAAAAACAAGATTTTTCCAGAAGTCATGGTGGACTTTGTAACATAGAATAAGTTCCCCTGGAAATATAAAGTGTCCAGAAAGCAAGATAGTCTGAGTGAAGCAGCAGGGCCTTCCTGGTTAGTAGGACATCAACAAAGCTAGGCTCCAGACTCCTACAAAAGCAGTAGCAAGACTATTATTTCTTTCCTGTAAATATTTCTTTATATAAGTTCCTGTAAAGATTGGAGTGTTGTTTCCACACCACTAGAGTTACCATACATCCAGGTTTTCCCGGGCCTGTCCTCTTTTTTGGGTCCTCCCAATTCCTTCTGGGCATTTTTAAAAAATGCCCAGAAGTGTTGCTGATTTTGAGTTTGCCTCCACTTTCCCAGCACTTCCCAGTTTGCCCCAAAAAAGAGCTGTTTGGGGCTGGGGAGAGTGGGGGAAGGTGATTGGAGGCCAGGGCATCACGTGCTCTGTGCACGGGCCCTGGCAACTGCAGGCAGGTAAGCATGTGAGCACATGCGTGTG